ATTTTGCTTACTATAACCGATTTGGGTGGAACAGTTAAGAGCTGATATACGATAATGTGGCTGGAATATGATATGTTGGATAGTTTTTTCTATAATTTACCCGGATCATCAGTTTGCCATGAAAATGGGAGGTTTACCGCTTGGCCGAAAACCATACTAGAACGTTTAACTACATTAAGGGAAGAGCAAAAATTGGATATAGAAGATTTTAAGCGTTTGCACTTAAGTGAGTGCATTGGTTTTGAGGAACGTTTAGAATCGTTAAAATGATGAAATTCAAACAATTTTCTTTGCAATTTAATCCGCAAAAGTACACGAAGTTGCAGTAGAGGTATGTAACACATATAGTCTTAAATAAATAAGAAATTTTAAAATTTTTCTAATTTGTAGATCAAAAAAACCTGGAAAGTTATATTGGATTTGCAAAAACTGGGCGAACTTTGCGTTATCGCCAAGAACTTTTTTGAATTGGAGGATCTGTCTCTAGAATTTCTTATAGCATCATAGAAGGCTTTCTGCCTTACAAAAATCTTGGTACGCATGCCAGGATATGGTTAAACTAGAAGAGGCTACTTTAGGCAATCCTTGGTTAATATAGAACTCGACGATGTTGGTCATGGCCTGGACACCATACAAAACTCTTTGCAGCTATCATTACAAGTCTTTGCTGAGAAGCCAGAATTACAGGAAGTCTCTAAAATACTTCCTTAATATGCTGGAGGAATTTAAACCAAAATACCAGGCTATTAAAGATTGAAAAATGAAAATTGGCTTTTCTTACTTGGCAAGAGCTGGCAACACGTTCTGGTTTAGATATTAAATATTCCATGGCCATGAATTTCCAATTTGCATGCGTAAGGGTAATAATGGATCATTTGGAATTGGTGCACGAGATTTCGGAAAAGGCTACAATGAAGCGGATGCTATACGCAAAGCCTTTGAAGAGGAGGAAAGACGTAAAGAGGAGGAGCGCTTAGCATTGCTAATGCATAAAGCTATGCGTAAATGTCCGTACAGATATTTGTTAAATTGATCTTTATTGTTGATAATTAATAAAAATAAAAACTAAAATTTACTTTCATTACAATTTTAAATTTCAGCAAAAAAACGTAAACAAAACAAAATACTCACTGAAAATTGATATCTTGCATATCCCAATCATAATGCTGTTACTCCACAGTACATTACACTTTCATGTAGAAGCAGCAAAGGTAAACAAAAAAATGAACGCGCCGGACCAGAGACTTGCGCCGATTCGGCTTAAGCCGACTAAGCCCTAGCCGCCGAACAAAATGTCAAAGCCGCCGCCGCCGAAAATTTTTCAGCTTAATACGGCTTGAAAATTTCGCCATATTTTGTACAATTTACAGAATACTTTCGCTAAATTTATAGAATTTACAATATAAAATTAATTTGTTTTCATTTAAGCAAGTTTTCTTTATCTAATAATAAGCCGCTTATTGAAATTTGGCCCGCCTCAGATATTTTCGTGTTTTACGCGCCTGATTCGAGTCGCTGCTTTTACTTCAAACCAGCTTCGTTGACGTCAACGGAGCTATACCTTTTTACATTGCTGGTATGTCATACCGTAAAGGGCTAAGGTATCAAACATGTGTATTTTAAATGGGAAGTGCAGTTGATGTCAATTCTGCCGACTGCGAAAAGAAATTCTGCTAGAATTTTTCGCGCCAAACTGTTTTCTGCATTTTTTATTTGCAAAAAAAAAAATGTTGTTGTGTGTGTGCAAAAATCTAAAGTGACAGTAATGATATTCTTTAAATAAAAAAATATTTTTTTACTAACAATTGAAATTAATAAGATTGCTATACTACTATACCGAGGGTCATTGTGCAAAGAAACAGCAAGTGTTTCGTTTAATTTAGATAAATTGTTAATAACTATGATGAAAATGTTTTTCCAGGCGGGGTTTGTTTTCGTTATTATATTGGTATTATACCCAAAAGTGTTTATTGAAATCTAGATTTGGCGTATTTGTGAGATCTAGAAGATTAAAAAATGGAAGTAATGGTGTTAATTAATTATTTATTTGTCTATAAAGAACGTCTTTCTTTTCAAGAAAGAGGAGGGAGGCATCATGATGGTCTCCTGGAAGAATGCCCACAAGAGAGTGGCAATTGTATACCTCCCTAGTCACCTAGGCGGGTGGTGGTCGGTCGGCTAGTACATAGAGTATATTATCACCTAGAGGCAATGGAAGGAAGCTGATTGCCGTATTCAGGGAGTATCCTTGGGATACATACTTATTATTATACCATTGATCTCAGCTGAATCACTACCATACACCCATAATAGAGCGCGATGTCTGTCAGGTGTGCCTTTCAGTGAAGCTCTTGTTGTCTCCAAACACTATGGTGGCCGAATATTTACAAGAAACAATTGTTAAGCCGCCTTTTATACAAATTTATAGCTTTGTAGAGACTGTCTTCACGGACCTAGAGGATATAACCTGGCTAGGTATGTAGATGTTGTTTGGGCAAAATATTGGTACTAACCATTGTGGGCTTTATGTCGACTTTAGATCCCTTATAGTTGTCACACTATATCAAATAAGCATTCTTGCTGGAATTAAAGTTTAAAGCAATTTTAATTCCAGTCAAACATTCAAATTTCAAGTGTTGAAATACACTTTCGTTACACTTTAATTCAATATCATTCTCCAGTGAAAACGAAACTTGAATTCAAGTCGAACATTACAATGTTTTTACAGTATAATTCAATGCACGAAATCTATATACATACATACGTATATAAAATTCTAACGTTACTGACTGATTCATCATCGTAGAGCCTAGAGCCTTGAAGCTAAAGAGCTGAAATTTGGGCAGGAGGTTGGTCTCCCACCAAATGGAAATTCGAATTTTTTGGGGGTTAAAAAAAGGGTAAAAACGTAAATTCGGTAACCTCAAATCTCCTAACAAAAACAGTTAAAGCTTATGGTCGTTCATTAAAAAAAAAAAGCGGACAGGTGTCCGGTAATTTTTTCAAATTCGGCCCCTTTGGGGAATAAACGGGTAAAAAACTGTAATTTGGTACTTCTTTTGCACCCCATGTATCTTTTAAACCAGAGAACATTCAAAAAATATTTTTGAATCCTTCATAACTTGACGAACAAATAAAAATATGAATTTAGTACTTTATGGATATTCGGACGTTTAAGGGGAGAAAAATTGTACCTATTTTTGGTACTTTTTTATAAAAGATTTTTTTTTTGGTTTATTAACTTATACATATGAATACATAATAACGGGCTCCCAATACGATGTTGCAACTTTTTGGAAGATAATTTTTATTTCGTTAATGGGGAGGAAAAAAGTACCAAAAAGGGTAAAAACGGGAAATTTGATTTTATTCAAGAAACACTAAATATGCTAATGGGATGTTATTTGGAACACCGGTACCAAGTGATATTTTTTGGTACTTTTTCATTCCGCAACTGGTACTTTTTGGGTTTTCTATGATATTGAAATCGAAACATGAAATTAATAATTAAGGAACTTTTCGGAACTTTTTCGTTCTACAAAGGTACTTCTTGAGTTTTCTATAAAATTTAACCTAGAAACATGAAATTAAGCAAGTAAAGTCCGGAGTAAATGAGAATCTATAAAATGGGACTTATTGGTACTTTAACGTACTTCGACTGGTACTTTTTTGACTCAGAACTTTGAAACTTGTAATTAAGTACTTGAGAATCTATAAAAGTGTAATTTTTGGTACTTTTTCGTACTTCAAAAGGAACTTTTTGAATTTTCTATAATATTAAACCTAGAAACATGAAAGCATGTAGAGCCCCGATTAAGTGAGAACCTGTAAAAGGGGACTTTTTGGTTCTTTAAAAGGTACATTTTAAGTTTTTGTATAATAATGAACCTAGAAACGTGAAATTAAGCATGTAGAGCCCGGATTAAGTGAGGTCCTATAAAGGGGACTTTTTGGTACTTTTTCGTTCTTCAAAAATATAACTCTTACTTCTTACTTATTTTAATCATAAATTACCGCTAAAATAAGAATAGTCTGCCTTTAGAGTTGCGAGTTTTCATACACTCTAATAATGTTTTCAAAGTGAAACTTTTGGAATATTTTTCAATCTCTTTGTGATCCCTTTAAATGATGTTGTTCTGGAAGAACTTTAACATCCATGTAAACATTTCGGGTAATAAATTGGGGGACTACCAATGAGGGGAGCGGAACCTCCCATATGAATTAAATACAAAAATTCGTTTATCTGGGAAACTAATAGAACTAAATTCTTAAAATTTTGCACGAAGAACTTTAATATTCATCTGACTTTCATCTGGGGGGCTTGGAGCTCCCATATGAATTAAATAGAAAAATTCGTATATCTGAGAAACTGTTAGAGCTAGAATCTTCAAATTTTACTGAAAAACATTTAGAGAATAACGGGCGGACTTTCAATGGGAGTTTGGCACTTCTCATATGAATTAAATGCAAATTTTGTATATCTGGGAAGCTATTAGATTATTCAAATATTTCATAGATTAAATTAAAATCTTAATTAACGTTCGGAATAATTGGCGAAATTGCAATAATTTGCGTGGAATCTCCCATATGTAACAGATTGTATATCTGGAAAACCATTGTAGTTAGAATCATCAAAATCGTTAAGTGAGTTTCTTATTTATATTGCTTTTAGGGTAGCACAGCACACTGGGTATAGCTAGTAAATAAACAAATAAAAAATCTTTGTTTTACGTTATTGATCATTTTCTTAATGCAAAATTTTTTAGAAACTGATTTTCTGCAATTTGTTTTATATGGAGGATAGGGTTAAATATCGGTAGATCGTAGTAGAACTTGGAGAAAGGATTTGTTTTTAATTTTTAAGAATTTTTTATTCATCCCTGCATAATTTCTCACACAACTTATAAGCTTGCTCTGTTTTGTTGTTATAAACAATATATTTGCTTCCAAAATCCCACTTTCTGATCTCTCGGATACCGTTTTTTTTTTTTAAATCGTAGAAAAATTAAAAACTAAACGTAGTTGAAAACATAGCCGGCTTACAATCGATTTTAAGCCGCCGCCGACATATTTAGTGCTCAAAATGAACGCGCCGGACAAATCGTAAGTATTTTAAAGTTTTTAAACGAAATTTTATTTAAAACATTCTTTTATTTTTTCAGTGAACCAAAAGTCTTCGTTAAATGCGCTTTACCCCAGTGTAAAGGATTACGTTTCAGTTTATTCCATAAATTTCCACGAAATCTTGAAAAATGTAAAGCCTGGTTAGCAGCTTTTGATAATCCCACACTTTATGCCATTCCCCATTTGCGCCTAATAACTATGGCTATCTGCAGTCGTCATTTTCGCATTTCGGACTATAGTCATCCTGAATCTAGGAAATTAAATGCAGTGGCAGTTCCAAGTTTAAATCTGAAGACTCTTAATCAACTGGACATGTGCCGCCATGGTAAAACGAATAAGGTGGAATATGATACTACTGAACGTTGGCCTCGTGATAATATTAATACGGAGGGGAAAGAAAATAATGAACCTAATACAACCAAAGATGAACTTAATGATGCAGAGGAATTTCCAATATCCCCTAAATGTTTTAGTAATATAAATCAAAGTTCATTAGCGTCTGATGATGCTGCTTTTCTTAATGATAATTTGGTGTCCTCTAGCAAGGATATAAGTGATTCAACTCTAGTCACTTCTTGTGTCAAAGAAGGTAATGGGTTTGAGTTGGTGGTTAATGATGGTTTTATACAGATGAAAGATTCTCAGCTGGATACTGAGGTAAAAGCTGATATATTATGGATGCGTCATATTTGTCGTTGTAGTGAATGTTTTGATAGTAAGATAAATAGGCCTTTGATAGAGTTTTTTGAATTTGATCAGGATTTGCAACCGGTAATGGCCACGGTTATAGAGGAAACTAGAAGATTGGATATAATATGTAAGTAACTATTTAGATTAGTTAAAATTAAGATCCACTTATTTCAGTTCTAGTTCAGTTCTAGTTTTCTTCTACTTTACTTCTAGTTCAGTTCTAGTACAATTCTAGTTCAGTTCTAGTTTACTTAATTATATTCTCTTCTCAATTGCAGGGAGTGATGGTCACACTTCCTCCTACAATCTCACAAAGTTATACGAACAACTACAAAAATCCCAAATAACCATCAGTCCTAACTATTTATTATGGAATTTTCAACACACTCAATTTCGCGATGATTTACAATCTATGAACTTTTACGAACTCTTACAATCGAACAAATCGGGCATCTATAAAGCCTTAGATCGTTTGCAAAAGTCAGGAGTATTAATCATAAAACAAGTACCCAAAGATGATAAAGATTCTTTACTAAAGAAATGTATCATAACTAAAATATTTAATATTTCATGCAATCAAATAATTAACGAAAAACGACAAAAGTCCTTAGGAGAACACAAGACACCACATTCAAATTGTACTTTCGAATCCATGGACAAAGGCATACAAATACTGTCAGTGCCTCAGAATAAAGAGCATTTAAAATTACAATTAAATTTAGTGGATGGTTTTCAAGCCATAGAACAATTACCCAAAACTACACAAGAATTTCTAGCACTTCATCAAATGGACTATTGTTTTGAAGATGACAAAGGTTTTAATTATAAAATCAAACAACCAGTTTTATGGAAAAGTGATTTCATGGAACGTATTTGGTTTAATCCTTATCACTTGGATTGTATTAATACACAAGATTATTGCTCGGCGACTAAACCCTTTAAACATTTAAGTGTTGCCTTGAAAATGCAACAGAACCAATGGTGTGTGGAGTTAAATTCGGAAAATATTATTATTTTAGATAATTATCGCATTTGTTGGAGTTTAAAAAATATCACAATCGATAGCGAATTGGATTGCATGTACTTGGAGAGAAAACATTACTTAAGCAGTTTGAATATATTGAAGAATATTTGATAAGGTAATTTTTTCATATTTAAATACATTTCCCTTTAGAAAAGTATTTTTATTTTCTATATTACTGTTTTAATGCTGATTTAATAAAATAGTTATTAAGAAAAAAATATTCCTAAGAGTTTTTAACTGCAAATTGTAAGAAAAACCTTCGATAGACAGTCAATATGTCCCAGCAGATTCAGTATGTATTTAAAAATTGGTGATTTATAGCCAAGTTTCCTTCAAAAGTTTGCTTTTGTTTCCTATAAAGTTTATAGTATAAACAATTATGCCAATTAATGCTATTACTATTATAATAGTAATAGCATTGGTTGGCATAATTGTTTATACTATACTTTTTCTGAATTAGAACAATTTGTTGTATACATATAATTAGATCTGAATCGATGCATCTTTTACTATTCAGTTTTAGTTCAGATATAGTTTAGTTTTAGTTCTGTTCTTGTTCAGTTCTAGTTCAGTTCTAGTTGTAGTTCTAGTTCAGTTCTAGTTAGTTCTAGTTCAGTTCTAGTTCAGTTCTAGTTCAGTTCTAGTTCAGTTCTAGTTCAGTTCTAGTTCAGTTCTAGTTCAGTTCTAGTTCAGTTCTAGTTCAGTTCTAGTTCAGTTTAGTTCAGTTCTAGTTCAGTTCTAGTTCAGTTCTAGTTCTCAGTCAGTTCCAGTTCAGTTCTAGTGCAGTTCTAGTTCAGTTCTAGTTCAGTTCTAGTTCAGTTCTAGTTCAGTTCTAGTTCAGTTCAGTTCAGTTCTAGTTCAGTTCTAGTTCAGTTCTAGTTCAGTTCTAGTTCAGTTCTAGTTCAGTTCTAGTTCAGTTCTAGTTCAGTTCTAGTTCAGTTCTAGTTCAGTTCAGTTCAGTTCTAGTTCAGTCAGTTCTAGTTCAGTTCTAGTTCAGTTCTAGTTCAGTTCTAGTTCAGTTCTAGTTCAGTTCTAGTTCAGTTCTAGTTCAGTTCTAGTTCAGTTCTAGTTCAGTTCTAGTTCAGTTCTAGTTCAGTTCTAGTTCAGTTCTAGTTCAGTTCTAGTTCAAGTTCTAGTTCAGTTCTAGTTCAGTTCTAGTTCAGTTCTAGTTCAGTTCTAGTCAGTTCTAGTTCAGTTCTAGTTCAGTGTCTAGTTCAGTTCTAGTTCAGTTCTAGTTCAGTTCTAGTTCAGTTCTAGTTCAGTTCTAGTTCAGTTCTAGTTCAGTTCTAGTTCAGTTCTAGTTCAGTTCTAGTTCAGTTCTAGTTCAGTTCTAGTTCAGTTCTAGTTCAGTTCTAGTTCAGTTCTAGTTCAGTTCTAGTTCAGTTCTAGTTCAGTTCTAGTTCAGTTTCTAGTTCAGTTCTAGTTCAGTTCTAGTTCAGTTTCTAGTTCAGTTCTAGTTCAGTTCTAGTTCAGTGTCTAGTTCAGTTCTAGTCAGTTCTAGTTCAGTCAGTTCTAGTTCAGTTCTAGTTCAGTTCTAGTTCAGTTCTAGTTCAGTTCTAGTTCAGTTCTAGTTCAGTCTAGTTCAGTTCTAGTTCAGTTCTAGTTCAGTTCTAGTTCAGTTCTAGTTCAGTTCTAGTTCAGTTCTAGTTCAGTTCTAGTTCAGTTCTAGTTCAGTTCTAGTTCAGTTCTAGTTCAGTTCTAGTTCAGTTCTAGTTCAGTTCTAGTTCAGTTCTAGTTCAGTTCTAGTTCAGTTCTAGTTCAGTTCTAGTTCAGTTCTAGTTCAGTTCAGTTCTAGTTCAGTTCTAGTTCAGTTCTAGTTCAGTTCTAGTTCAGTTCTAGTTCAGTTCTAGTTCAGTTCTAGTTCAGTCTAGTTCAGTTCTAGTTCAGTTCTAGTTCAGTTCTAGTTCAGTTCTAGTTCAGTTCTAGTTCAGTTCTAGTTCAGTTCTAGTTCAGTTCTAGTTCAGTTCTAGTTCAGTTCTAGTTCAGTTCTAGTTCAGTTCTAGTTCAGTTCTAGTTCAGTTCTAGTTCAGTTCTAGTTCAGTTCTAGTTCAGTTCTAGTTCAGTTCTAGTTCAGTTCTAGTTCAGTTCTAGTTCAGTTCTAGTTCAGTTCTAGTTCAGTTCTAGTTCAGTTCTAGTTCAGTTCTAGTTCAGTTCTAGTTCTAGTTCAGTTCTGTCAGTTCTAGTTCAGTTCTAGTTCAGTTCTAGTTCAGTTCTAGTTCAGTTCTAGTTCAGTTCTAGTTCAGTTCTAGTTCAGTTCTAGTTCAGTTCTAGTTCAGTTCTAGTTCAGTTCTAGTTCAGTTCTAGTTCAGTTCTAGTTCAGTTCTAGTTCAGTTCTAGTTCAGTTCTAGTTCAGTTCTAGTTCAGTTCTTGTTCAGTTCTAGTTCAGTTCTAGTTCAGTTCTAGTTCAGTTCTAGTTCAGTTCTAGTTCAGTTCTAGTTCAGTTTCTAGTTCAGTTCTAGTTCAGTTCTAGTTCAGTTCTAGTTCAGTTCTAGTTCAGTTCTAGTTCAGTTCTAGTTCAGTTCTAGTTCAGTTCTAGTTCAGTTGTAGTTCAGTTGTAGTTCAGTTCTAGTTCAGTTCTAGTTCAGTTCTAGTTCAGTTCTAGTTACGGAAAAGAATAATAAAAAAATTTCAATTTGTTTGATTAAAAGCATGACTAGATTATTTCAATACAAATTTAAGAAAAATCTACTAAATCTAATTATATAAATCTACAAAAACTAATACTAGAACTAAGATTACACCATATTCCAAATGCAAATCCTTTAAACTATTAGCAGCTGATATAGCTTTTTCGTGAACATCATAAAAACGCACAGTCATTGTAATGGGCACTTCCAAATTTTCATCTAAAGCAAATTCCAAATCATGACGTTCGGCCAAATGTAAAGCAGCATGCTTAATGACATTTTGCAAGGGAACATTATCCACCTCGTAGGTGGCCATATGAAATTCATATGCTAAACTTAATAAAATATTCCGGCATATAAATGTATTGGTCTCCTGTAGATATTGTCCAATTACTGAATCAAAATCGCTGTTGAAAACATTTAACGGCAACCATTTTTGTGAATCATTCTCGGGTTTACCCAATTGGGATATTAAGTAGAAAGATAATTCAGCAATTTCTAGGTCCTCACCAAATAGTTGTTTATGTATATGTTGCTGTAAATTTAAACATATTTCTGTGAAATTAGTTTTTGAGGCATCCTTTAGTAAAAGCGTTTCATTTTCCAGTTTTATTTTACAATATTTGGCTATATTAATACCGTAAGCAATATAATCTTTAGCAGGATTAAAACGGGCACATTCACCATTTTCTTTTGAAAATAAAGTTAAAATATGAGACTCGGTATTATTGGGGTTAAAGTAATTGATTATTTGATTTTTAGATGATAAAGGTAGACTTTTATTGAAAACCTCATAGCGTGCTAGGATTATTGGTTTACCCAGTAGATAACCTAAGGGCCCAGATATTACAGGGGGATATACGTTTTCTGTTGTATTTGTTTTTAAAAATTCCTTTAAAGTTTTATTTAAAAACTCTATTTCGTAAGACAACCAATATTCTGTTTTAGTACTTTCCATTTTATCCAAGGTTTTGTTTTCCTTTAGCCATAAGTCCACTATTAGCTCTTGAATATGGGTAAAATTGTGTAAGATATTTATTTTAACTTTATATAAATTAAAATTGTCCTGTCTTTCTTTTTTTAGTTCTATATCTTGAGCAATTTAGTTTGTTTTCATAACAATTATTAACCGTTATATTTTCTATATAGTTTTCCATATGTTTGTTGTTGTAAATATCATCTGGCATCGTGGGTTTGCTAAATATTTTATAGTCTTCTTGTAGTTGTTTAAATTTGATTTCAATTTCTTTTAAATTTTCATGAGAGGAAACCAGACAAGATTTTTTAGGGGTTTTAAATGATAAATGGGTTCTTGTAGGCGACAAGTGGCAGTTTGATAAGATGATGGAAGATCTGTAAAATAAAGATAAGTGTAAGTGTTTTAGCACAACAATGTTATCTATAAAATGCTCTGAGCAATACTAAGAGCAATTTTTCTAGTTTATACTCTGGTCTATAGTCTAGTCTATAGTCTAGTCTATAGTCTAGTCTATAGTCTAGTCTATAGTCTAGTCTATAGTCTAGTCTATAGTCTAGTCTATAGTCTAGTCTATAGTCTAGTCTATAGTCTAGTCTATAGTCTAGTCTATAGTCTAGTCTATAGTCTAGTCTATAGTCTAGTCTATAGTCTAGTCTATAGTCTAGTCTATAGTCTATAGTCTAGTCTATAGTCTAGTCTATAGTCTAGTCTATAGTCTAGTCTATAGTCTAGTCTATAGTCTAGTCTATAGTCTAGTCTATAGTCTAGTCTATAGTCTAGTCTATAGTCTAGTCTATAGTCTAGTCTATAGTCTAGTCTATAGTCTAGTCTATAGTCTAGTCTATAGTCTAATCTATAGTCTAGTCTATAGTCTAGTCTATAGTCTATTCTATAGTCTAGTCTATAGTCTAGTCTATAATCTAGTTATAGTCTAGTCTATAGTCTATTCTATAGTCTATTCTATAGTCTACTCATAGTCTAGTCTATAGTCTAGTTTATAGTCTAGTCTATAGTCTAGTCTATAGTCTAGTCTATAGTCTAGTCTATAGTCTAGTCTATAGTCTAGTCTATAGTCTAGTCTATAGTCTTAGTTTTATAGTCTAGTCTATAGTCTAGTCTATAGTTAGTTAGTCTAGTCTATAGTCTAGTATATGTCTAGTCTATAGCTAGTTATAGTCTAGTCTATAGTCTGTCTATAGTCTAGTCTATAGCTAGTCTATAGTCTAGCTATAGTAGTTAAGTCTAGTCTATAGCTCAGTCTATAGGCTAGTCTATCGTCTAGTCTATAGTCTAGTCTATAGTCTAGTCTATGTCTAGTCTATAGTCTATCTATAGTATGTCTATAGTCTAGTTTCTATAGTCTAGTCTATAGTATAGTCTAGTCTAGTCTATAGTCTAGTCTATAGTTCTAGTCTATAGTATAGTCTATAGTTCAAGTCTATAGCTAGTCTATAGTCAGTCTATAGTCTAGTCTAGGTAGTCTATAGTCTAGTCTAGTCTATAGTCTAATCTATAGTCTAGTCTATAGTCTAGTCTATAGTCTATTCTATAGTCTAGTCTATAGTCTAGTCTATAATCTAGTTTATAGTCTAGTCTATAGTCTATTCTATAGTCTATTCTATAGTCTACTCTATAGTCTAGTCTATAGTCTAGTTTATAGTCTAGTCTATAGTCTAGTCTATAGTCTAGTCTATAGTCTAGTCTATAGTCTAGTCTATAGTCTAGTCTATAGTCTAGTCTATAGTCTAGTCTATAGTCTAGTCTATAGCCTAGTCTATAGTCTAGTCTATAGTCTAGTCTATAGTCTAGTCTATAGTCTAGTCTATAGTCTTGAACTCCTGAATCGGAGCAAGTTCCACTTTCGAAAATTGTTCTGAATTAGGCTATAGTTTTTCATAGAAAATAGCTCTGAATTAGAGTTTCTATTTTTCTTACCAAAATTTTGTATTTCTTTAGTTTTCACATTAAATATTCTCAATATATCGCCGAATTTATAAAATTCACGATTTTTCACCTCTTCCGATTCCAATAATAAATTCGGCCATTTATTATAACGGGAAGTATCCTCAAAAGAATGTGTTACCTGAAATTACATAAATTAAAAACTAATGTTTGTAAATAATCTCTACAACGGACTTACTTCTTCTTTAACCAAAGGTTTATAGGTTCTTAACACACACAACCAACCGTCATTAATCTCACACGAAGGCAGACCATGTTGAAATTTAAAATCCTCAAAACGTCCTTCATGTATCTCTAAATCAATGGGCTCTTCTAGTTGACAACGAAATACCTTTAAAGCATCGGCGGAGCAGTCAGGATCACAACAACAATTTATATCACAAGTGTCTTGTGAAAGATCACAAAAGCAATATTGCGCTTTAATTGGCCATTTGGGCAAGGAAGTTGGTAAAGGTTCGGTAATATTTGGTTTAACCGTGGTATTAATCTCTTTATTTAAAGGTTTAATGGTGGTGGTAGTTGAGGGTTTAATGGTGGTGGTAGTAGGTTTTTTGGTGGTTGTGTTGTTGGATATTTTTACAGTTTTTTTGGGTGGAAATTCTGGCCATTCCGCATCATCTTTTGTTGCTGCAGTTGTGGTGGAAGTTGTAGAACTGGGAGTAGAGGATATTAATGGGGAATCAGTTACATCTGTTGTAATTTCCTCTGTGGTAGTTTCCTCTATTGTGGTGGTATTAGGAACCACAGTTGTGGTAACAGGTAAAGGTTTAGAAATGCCTATTTTGACGGCTTTTGTGGCAACCAATGTAATCATTAAAAACTGGCATATTAACAAAACCTTAATCGGATCCATGACTATAGTTTTCGAAATCACTTGAATTCTATGCCAAATTTAGCAAAATTACGAAAGACCAAGTTAATATCAATTATAATCTTGCCCGACGAACGTGTCTGTAATTTGTATCTATTTAAAACCAAAAGTCTCAATATTAATCTAATAATCTTGAATTAGAAAAATAAACAACAAACCTTTCCAATCCGCTGTAAATCAAATCCTCTTTACACAAAGCCAAACCGCCACCTCCAAATTTCTCTCTAACGCTATCGTACCACGAACGTGGCGCTATTTTCCAACACAATACCTCTAAACGATGGAAACCCGGTTTAGTGGGTATATGCACAAAACCATAACCTACCGGCCAACTTTTGCTTAAAACATTAACAGCATGTATTTCGACATGCAATTTAGGCCAACCTTGCACCGAAGCTGTACCCAAATGCAAATCCAAAGGTTGACAAAAATCCGAACAAGATTCTAAACGATTTGTGGCTACAAAAGTTTGACCAACTGCTTCGCCCTGGATAATGCGCCAAGCAGTTCCTTTGGAAAGCAAATATTGCATAAAATCTGATTTTAGTTAAGCCCAATTACTACTCACCACTTTGTAAACTCCACTTGCAGAATATATGAGGTTCTTGAAAATCAACTGCTTTCAATATTTGTCCTATAATATGAACTTCCGCCATCAATATATTTTCGCTCGCATTGAATTATTTTTATTCAACATTTGTTCATTATTATTTCTACTTATTTATTATGATTTTCATAATTTTTTTAGTTTTACAGTTTCGATTTCTAAAGCGAATGGTTCAATTTTTCCTTTTGCTTTTAAAAATGATTTCAATTTGTTTATATAACTCTGGTAACCATGGTTTACCTAAGGGTTGCTTTGTATGTCCTTTAATTACTACAACAATGGAAACCCTTAAGATAGAAAATAGCCGTTAAAAAGGTTGTTAACTTGGCTAAGTTAATTTATTTTTTTAAGGGAGTAAGTTTTTAGGGGTGTTATTTAATAAATTAGATACACCTGCAATATCTTCTTGTTCAGTGCTAGTTCAGTTCTCGTTCAGTTCTAGTTCAGTTCCAGTTCAGTTCTAGTTCAGTTCTAGTTCAGTTCTAGTTCAGTTCTAGTTCAGTTCTAGTTCAGTTCTAGCAGTTCAGTTCAGTTCTAGTTCAGTTCTAGTTCAGTTCTAGTTCAGTTCTAGTCAGTTCTAGTTCAGTTCTAGTTCAGTTCTAGTTCAGTTCTAGTTCAGTTAGTTCAGTTCTAGTTCAGTTCTAGTTCAGTTCTAGTTCAGTTCTAGTTCAGTTCTAGTCAGTTCTAGTCAGTTCTAGTTCAGTTCTAGTTCAGTTCTAGTTCAGTTTCTAGTCAGTTCTAGTTCAGTTCTAGTTCAGTTCTAGTTCAGTTTAGTTCAGTTCTAGTCAGTTCTAGTTCAGTTCTAGTTCGTTCTAGTTCAAGTTCTAGTTCAGTTCTAGTTCAGTTTCTAGTTCAGTTCTAGTTCAGTTATAGTTCAGTTCTAGTTCAGTTCTAGTTCAGTTCTAGTCAGTTCTAGTTCAGTTCTAGTTCAGTTCTAGTTCAGTTCTAGTTCAGTCTCTAGTCAGTTCTAGTTCAGTTCTAGTTCAGTTCTAGTTCAGTTCTAGTTCAGTTCTAGTTCAGTTCTAGTTCAGTTCTAGTTCAGTTCTAGTTCAGTTCTAGTTTCAGTTCTAGTTCAGTTCTAGTTCAGTTCTAGTTCAGTTCTAGTTCAGTTTAGTTTCAGTTCTAGTTCAGTTCTAGTTCAGTTCTAGTTCAGTTCTAGTTCAGTCTAGTCAGTTCTAGTTCAGTTCTAGTTCAGTTCTAGTTCAGTTGTAGTTCAGTTGTAGTTCAGTTGTAGTTCAGTTGTAGTTCAGTTGTAGTTCAGTTCTAGTTCAGTTCTAGTTCAGTTCTAGTTCAGTTCTAGTTCAGTTTTAGTTCAGTTCTAGTTCAGACTGACATTTAGTACCTATTCCGTGCGTATATCACATTTGATATATGTGATCCATCCCTTAATATTATGTTCATCACATTAAATTTTTGACACCATACTTTAAAAATTTACAATTTACTATTAAATTTTCAAACATAAAGGAAAATAGGAAATTTTTTCCAAATTTACAAAATTCTTAGTAATAAATCATAAATAAAAGCCAAAAAAATTCCAAGAAACTTAATCTCTCTCTGTAAAGATCAGCAGTTAAAGAGAGATTTTATTAAAGACTCAAAAAACTTGAAACACAGCTGCCTTTTTCAAATTTTAAAAAGTCCTCTGGCGAATAAGAGGAACCGCAATTTTCTCTTTTTGAAGTTTTTGAAACTGCCAAAAAACGAGTTTCCACGATGAAACACCACGCACTAGTACTGCTGCTAAAACCGGACAGGGTTCCGAACAAGTGTCTCCCGCGGGCAGTGGTACTAATAAAGCGGGAAAACCTAAATCGATTTTGGAAGAACATGGCATATTGATGGGTAAAGTTATTGGGTCCGGTAATTATGCCAAGGTCAAGATAGGTTATTCCGAAGAGTATGGCAAGAGAGTCGCTATTAAAATTATATCGAAGGTTAAGGCTCCGGCAGAGTATACACAAAAATTTTTACCCCGAGAAATAGAGGCCGTAAAGGGTTTGCATCATGATAATCTGATAACATTTTATCAGAGTATCGAAACGAGTCATAGGTGAGTGGAGGAATGAGTTCTCTTCTGCTATGAAAAGCTATAGAGTGGACTAGAGACTTATCTTTAGACTAGAATATAGATTAGACTAAACTATTTTTATTTTTCTTAAGAGTCTACTTAATCATGCCAATTGGCTGAGAATGGCACTCTTTTGGATTATGTGCGCGATAAAAATATTTAGATGAAACTCAGTCACGTAAATTATTTCAACAATTAATAAGTGCTGTGGAATATATACATTCTAAAGGAGTGGTGCACAGGTAATCCCAAATGTTAGTTAACAAATTTTGAATTAATAAGGAGCCATTTGTCTTTTAGAGATATAAAATGTGAAAATCTTTTATTGGATGAAAATTACAACCTAAAACTAATCGATTTCGGGTTTGCACGGAAAGACACGCGTACCAGTGATCAACAAGTGATATTATCGAAGACATTTTGTGGCAGTTATGCCTATGCTAGTCCAGAGATTCTAAAAGGTAACAGAAGATAGACTTTTAGTGAATATATTGGGATATGGGGATTGCTTTTAAAACCAGCTTTCTTTCCTGTACCCACAGGTGTTGCTTACGATCCATTTCATTCTGATATCTGGGCCTGTGGTGTGGTCTGCTATGCCATGATATTTGGTCGTCTACCCTACGATGGTTCTAATGTACATGTTTTATTAAAACGTATTAACTCTTCATTGGTTTTCCCCAAAATACCGACAGCCAGTAGCGAGTGTAAACATTTGATTTTACATATTCTGGCTCCCTTGAAGATGCGTTATAATATTGCACAAATTAAAGAAGATCCCTGGATGAACATGTCATGAGAAGTCGGAAGGAATGGTACTAAAGAGGTGTACAGGAGAGATGAAGGTTTTTTGGAATAAGGCAAAAGTAAATATGAAATAAAACAAATGTTTCGGCTAAGATTTTCATTTAAATATTTTAATAAAATTTATTTCTTTTAATAATAAAATCACGATGTTTTTTATTTAAAGCTTTAACTTGAATAAAACTTGTTTTTGTTTGTTTATGATTTTCACGCTGTTACCTTTAGGCCAATAAATTCAATTAAAAATTTCCTTAATTTTTATAAAACATTTTCTCCAACCATTTCGTGATATAATGCCAAACAAACAACTAAAAACAAACTAAAATTTTACAAAAAAATCTACAAAATATATTAAAAACACCACAAGAAAAAACTTGAAATATTTAAGCAACTAAAAAAGTACAAAGTTTAAATAAAAAATGGCTACTTTATTAAAACTGATAATGGAAAACCGTTATACAGGATGTGGTTGGTCGTAACAGTCTATGTTTGAAAAACTTGCCTTGATTTCAGCCTTAGGGTTAAAAGCATTACTTTACACTTGAGCCTTTTTCTGTTCTGTACTTCGCCAACACTGAGGTACCTCAGGAAAGTTAAATGAATCAACACTAGAATCCAAATGGCACTACGGAATTGTATCCTATAAATTGAACATGACCGTACGTAATGTACCTGTAAGTAATTTAACCGTAAGTAAGTAAGTAAGTCAAGTAAGTAAGTAAGTAAGTAAGTAAGTAAGTAAGTAAGTAAGTAAGTAAGTAAGTAAGTAAGTAAGTAAGTAAGAAGTAAGTAAGTAAGTAAGTAAGTAAGTAAGTAAGTAAGTAAGTAAGTAAGTAAGTAAGTAGTAAGTAAGTAAGTAAGTAAGTAAGTAAGTAAGTAAGTAAGTAAGTAAGTAGTAAGTAAGTAAGTAAGTAAGTAAGTAAGTAAGTAAGTAAGTAAGTAAGTAAGTAAGTAAGTAAGTAAGTAAGTAAGTAAGTAAGTAAGTAAGTAAGTAAGTAGTAAGTAAGTAAGTAAGTAAGTAAGTAAGTAGTAAGTAAGTAAGTAAGTAAGTAAGTAAGTAAGTAAGTACGTAAGTAAGTAAGTAAGTAAGTAAGTAAGTAAGTAAGTAAGTAAGTAAGTAAGTAAGTAAGTAAGTAAGTAAAGTAAGTAAGTAAGTAAGTAAGTAAGTAAGTAAGTAAGTAAGTAAGTAAGTAAGTAAGTAAGTAAGTAAGTAAGTAAGTAAGTAAGTAAGTAAGTAAGTAAGTAAGTAAGTAAGTAAGTAAAGTAAGTAAGTAAGTAAGAAGTAAGTAGTAGTAAGTAAGTAAGTAAGTAAGTAAGTAAAGTAAGTAAGTAAGTAAGTAAGTAAGTAAGTAAGTAAGTAAGTAAGTAAGTAAGTAAGTAAAAGTAAGTAAGTAAGTAAGTAAGTAAGTAAGTAAGTAAGTAAGTAAGTAAGTAAGTAAGTAAGTAAGTAAGTAAGTAAGTAAGTAAGTAAGTAAGTAAGTAAGTAAGTAAGTAAGTAAGTAAGTAAGTAAGTAAGTAAGTAAGTAAGTAAGTAAGTAAGTAAGTAAGTAAGTAAGTAAGTAAGTAAGTAAGTAAGTAAGTAAGTAAGTAAGTAAGTAAGTAAGTAAGTAAGTAAGTAAGTAAGTAAGTAAGTAAGTAAGTAAGTAAGTAAGTAAGTAAGTAAGTAAGTAAGTAAGTAAGTAAGTAAGTAAGTAAGTAAGTAAGTAAGTAAGTAAGTAAGTAAGTAAGTAAGTAAGTAAGTAAGTAAGTAAGTAAGAAGTAAGTAAGTAAGTAAGTAAGTAAGTAAGTAAGTAAGTAAGTAAGTAAGTAAGTAAGTAAGTAAGTAAGTAAGTAAGTAAGTAAGTAAGTAAGTAAGTAAGTAAGTAAGTAAGTAAGTAAGTAAGTAAGTAAGTAAGTAAGTAAGTAAGTAAGTAAGTAAGTAAGTAAGTAAGTAAGTAAGTAAGTAAGTAAGTAAGTAGTAAGTAAGTAAGTAAGTAAGTAAGTAAGTAAGTAAGTAAGTAAGTAAGTAAGTAAGTAAAGTAAGTAAGTAAGTAAGTAAGTAAGTAAGTAAGTTAATACGTAAGAGTAAGTCACATTTTATAAAGTGTAGGGTGTCTAATGCATGTTTTACTGTAAAGCATCTGATTTTACTGGACAAATATTTTTTGGCCACTACTTTTGTTTATTCTTTAATACAGTGTTGAAATTTCAAATTTTTAACGCATTATTTATTATGCTTCTTTTTTCCGCTCAGTTTTATTATTTTCACGTTTATATTCATATATAAAACTTTACAAAAACATTAAGCGAAAGTTTTATTTCTGCGAAATATTTAAATATTAGCAGTAACAACAATCGCTGTCCAGTAAAGTGAATGATTTACCACTAACTTTAAGTTTGTGTTTTTATACAAGAACAAAATTTCAAATGTTCATCAGGAAATGTTGGAATTTGTTAACGTTTACAACCTCAGGTGATGGAAATAACATTAAGAGAAATTATATAAAAAGGAACACAAAAAACTGACAAGACTTAAGTAAAGTTTTGATTGAAAATTAATCTCTGGGAAAATAAAAAAAAATAAAAAAATTAGAAAGATGAATTCATAAATAAAAAATTGGAAGCTTTTTAAGGATCTACAGCCGATTTTCAGTTACTCAATTGGTGAGCTTTTTGAAGATCTACAGCTGATACTAGGTACTTCTTATAAAAAAGTCTTTCTTTATGGAAAGTTGAACAATTTTAAGATATTTCTTTATTTTAATACTTAATTAAAAAGTGTTACAGGAATTATTATGTATTTACAACTACTTTTTGAAGTTTTTTTTTTTTAATTTTTCTTTGTAAAGAAACCATTAATTATTAAATTAAAAACTGACCAGTTGTTTGTATTTATATTTAACATCAACTGTTGTTACATTATCCTCTGACATGGTGTTTTCATTATTATTTTCATTTTCCTGTTCTTTGCATTTTCTGTTTTAATTTTCTGTAGCCTATTTCCTTGAATAATATTTTCAACTTGGCAGTTTATGCGTAAAAAATTTCTACACTGAACGTAATATATCCAACAAATATTTATTTTATTTGTTATTTTAAATTTAAAGAAACTAACTAAAATAACAATTTTCTCTAAAATCTATTTAATCTATTTAAAGTAGGTCAAGTTTTTTAAGTAAAATATTTTATTTAGATTTTTATCTTTTTTTTTTACAGTGTTTATATACATACATAATGAAAGTTACCATACTTTTGTTGTTAACAAACAAAAAAGGGGAAATGTTTATTGGTTTGTTGTGGAAGTAATGCAGTGGTAAACATTTTAATACAAGTGCAAGTGTCTGTCTTTTCCAACATAAATATCCTTATTTACTGTTATACACATAAATACATACATATGAACATTTCAAACTATAATATTAACAATGGCGTCAAGTTTTCAGTAAATATGGTTAATTCCATTTTGTATTCAAACGAGAAGTAAAAAGAAAATTAAATATTTATTTTAAATATTGAGATGCAAAAGTAGTTTTAAATGAGACTTTAAGCATGTAAATTTTATTTTTAAATATGGTCTTTGATTTTAGAACTACGTTTCCAATAGTAAACCTTCCTCTAGAATATTATTCTTCTTCAGAAATTTAACTTGAACTGAATTAGAACTGAAATATAAATAAACTAGAACTGAACTGAACTAGAACTGAACTAGAACTGAACTAGAACTGAACTAGAACTGAACTAGAACTGAACTAGAACTGAACTAGAACTGAACTAGAACTGAACTAGAACTGAACTAGAACTGAACTAGAACTGAACTAGAACTGAACTAGAACTGAACTAGAACTGAACTAGAACTGAACTAGAACTGAACTAGAACTGAACTAGAACTGAACTAGAACTGAACTAGAACTGAACTAACTGAACTAGAACTGAACTAGAACTGAACTAGAACTGAACTAGAACTGAACTAGAACTGAACTAGAACTGAACTAGAACTGAACTAGAACTGAACTAGAACTGAACTAGAACTGAACTAGACTGAACTAGAACTGAACTAGAACTGAACTAGAACTGAACTAGAACTGAACTAGAACTGAACTAGAACTGAACTAGAACTGAACTAGAACTGAACTAGAACTGAACTAGAACTGAACTAGAACTGAACTAGAACTGAACTAGAACTGAACTAGAACTGAACTAGAACTGAACTAGAACTGAACTAGAACTGAACTAGAACTAGAACTGAACTAGAACTGAACTAGAACTAGAACTGAACTAGAACTGAACTAGAACTGAACTAAACTGAACTAACTGAACTAGAACTGAACTAGAACTGAACTAGAACTGAACTAGAACTGAACTAGAACTGAACTAGAACTGAACTAGAACTGAACTAGAACTGAACTAGAACTGAACTAGAACTGAACTAGAACTGAACTAAACTGAACTAGAACTGAACTAGAACTGAACTAGAACTGAACTAGAACTGAACTAGAACTGAACTAGAACTGAACTAGAACTGAACTAGAACTGAACTAGAACTGAACTAGAACTGAACTAGAACTGAACTAGAACTGAACTAGAACTGAACTAGAACTGAACTAGAACTGAACTAGAACTGAACTAGAACTGAACTAGAACTGAACTAGAAAACTGAACTAGAACTGAACTAGAACTGAACTAGAACTGAACTAGAACTGAACTAGAACTGAACTAGAACTGAACTAGAACTGAACTAGAACTGAACTAGAACTGAACTAGAACTGAACTAGAACTGAACTAGAACTGAACTAGAACTGAACTAGAACTGAACTAGAACTGAACTAGAACTGAACTAGAACTGAACTAGAACTGAACTAGAACTGAACTAGAACTGAACTAGAACTGAACTAGAACTGAACTAGAACTGAACTAGAACTGAACTAGAACTGAACTAGAACTGAACTAGAACTGAACTAGAACTGAACTAGAACTGAACTAGAACTGAACTAGAACTGAACTAGAACTGAACTAGAACTGAACTAGAACTGAACTAGAACTGAACTAGAACTGAACTAGAACTGAACTAGAACTGAACTAGAACTGAACTAGAACTGAACTAGAACTGAACTAGAACTGAACTAGAACTAAACTGAACTAGAACTAACTAGAACTGAACTAGAACT